CAAAAGAAAGGAGATGGGAAGATAGCACAGGACAACAAATAAAAGCTTGGTAGTTCAGAATGTAGTAAGGGAAAAAAAAAATTCTTTTTCTTTCTCTTTTATTTTTATTTTTTTTTTTTCAACAAGAACAGATGTTATGCCAAATTAACTGACTAAGAGTTGGAGACTAACTATGCCTTTGAAGAATTTAAACCCTGAATAACAGCTGTTGTGTGTAATAAATAGAAGATAAACTGAAGTTTTGTTATGACACAGAAACTGATGACCCTTGCCTATCTGGGGCAGAAAATATATACAGGAAAGTTAAGTGACTATGTAACTAAATTTTTGAGTTTGTGGAGTCCAATGCTAAATATAGAGGACAAAAATATTGCAACTTGAACAATTACTAAGAAAATGCATTTTCAATTTTTTCTGAAGTCCATATAATAGACATTTTTATTCAAGCTAGAAACACTGTTAGTACTAAGTGTAATTATCTAGTCATGCACAAAACACAAAAAAGGTGAAATTTATGGTAACATAGGATAGTGGAAGCTTTGTATAAATTATAGGGTAATGTTCTTCTGTGTCTTCCTTGTGACACACTGGAGACATAGTCTACATAGTCTACAAATTTCAACCTGAAACCTTGTGGTTTAACCTGGCCGGCAGCTAAACACCACACAGCCATTCGCTCACCTCTCTGGGATGGAGGAGAGAAACAGGAAAGTGAAGCCCGTGAGTTGAGATAAAGACAGTTTATTAAAACAGGAAAATAATAATAACAATAATAATAATAGTAGTAGTAGTAGTACTACTAATAAGTACGAAACAAGTGATGCACAATGCAATTGCTCACCACCCGCTGACCGATGCCCAACCTATCCCTGAGCAGATGGCCCCCACCATACCAGCTAGCCACCCCTATGTATTGTTTAGCATGACACCATATGGTATGGAATAGCCCTTTGGCCAGTTTGGGTTGGCTGTCCTGGATTTGTCCCCTCTCAGCTCTTGCTGCACCCCTAGCCTGCCTGCTGGCAGGACAGAGTGAGAAGCTGAAATGTCCTTGGTTTGGTGTAGGCACTGCTCTGCAACAATTAAAACATCAGCATGTTATCAGCACTCTTCTCATCCTAATCCAAAACATAGCACCCTACCAGGTACTAGGAGGAAAATTAACTCTGTCATAACTGAAACCAGGACAAACCGATATCTGGCCATAAAAGTAAAATAAAGGTGGGAAGGTAAAATTTCCTTTGTTCTATTTTTTTTTTTTTAAATAGTTCTAAAAGTTTAACTGTTGTCTGAGAAAGTTTAGGTGGTTTTGGTTTCTACTGCTGTTAATATTCAAGCAATTTCAGAAATAGACAGTCCTCCATCTGCCCCCCCCCCATAAAAAAAAAAAAAAAGTAAAGCTGTTTTTGTAACTTGCATCTCTTGATGAGCAGAGAAACACAGATAGAACACTTCATGATAATTGTTTTATCAATCGATAAAAGTGCTTGATTATATCATTAAAAATGGTTTTGTGCATAATTTATTCAAGATTTCATATTTGTGATTGATATCTTACAGAACTATAATTTTTGCATTATAGGGATGTATTCCTTTCTGGAAGTTACAATTCTAAAATCATCAAGACAACTTCTATCCTAGAAGAGTTTCATTGATTCTTTGAGAGCAGGTATGATGTTTAGGCAAGAATATTGGCAAACTTAAATAAAAAAAAAATAATAATCTGAAGACATTAAGAGTTGCATCTCAGATTTTGTCAGAATTGTCTAAATAATGACAAATCAAAAGATAGGTAGTAGCAATTCAAAATCATAGGACAGTATAAATAGCAAAAACAAATTATTTAAAGGCAAAAATAAGAACAAGTGTGAGAAAGAGAAAGCAAATGCAAAAGGAGAAGGTGATAAATAATTTCAAAAATTATTTATGGCCTGGAATCTGTTAAACATGTTGTTGAGTGATGAAGAAAAGGAGTCATCACTTGTGATATTTATGAGACCAGAAAAATTTCTAGGGAGTAGTGCTTTGCATGAGTGGGGTAAATTAGATAGAAAGTAGAAGAATTCTGGAGAGTAGAAAATGAGCAAGTTGTGATCAATTGCTCTATTTCATTCCTAACTGAATTCTACTCAAACCTATATCAAGGCTGAATAATGCACTGTCACTAGAAAAATGTATTTCTTTGATTTTTATGTTATTATTTAATACAGTGAGACAAACTGAACATAGAGATATCTTAGAGTAACACACTACATTCTCTGGGAGAGAGGGGGCACTTACAAATATAGGAAAAAATTTGTATCTCTGGTAATTATTTGGTCCATGAAGTCTCTTGTATTGACAGTGGCCTCTGAAGGTCCGGATAGCTATTATACATGTAAGTTATACCCCCATCACCATAGGCTTTACCTGAATCACTGCACTGGGTGCTGCTGAGCTACATTTTAGTGTGTCAGAATGCACTAAAATGATCATTTTAAGATGTCTTTATTCGTGGTAGAGACATTGGTATGGAAATGGTCAAGATACTATTTCTTGAAAGCTTTTATGAGAAATTGATTTATTTTTTGAATAGAAAAATTGTTACATGAAGAATAGCTTAGAGAATTAATCCTAATACAAGGATATCACAAAGTTCAGCAGGGAAAGTGCAAAGTCCTGCACCTGGGAAGGAACTACCCCAGGCACCAGTAGTACATGCTGGAAGCCCTGCAGATGGAAAGCAGCTTTGCAGAAAAGGACTTGGGAGGCCTTGGCAGACATCAAGTTGAAAGTGAGTCAGCAATGTGAGCAATGTGCCCTTGCCACTAAGAAGTTTACTTGACTGCATCAGGCTAAGTATTGCCAGCAGGTCAAGAGAAGTTATCCTTCTCTACTCTGCAGCACTAGTGAGGCTGCACCTGGAGTATAAGAGACACTTATACTGGACATACTGGAAAGAGTCCAACAAATGTCACAGAGATGATTAGAGGACTGGAGCATCTTCTCTGTGAGGAAAGTCTGAAGGAGTTGGAACTCTTCAGCCTACAGAAGAGAAGGCTCAGGGGACATCTTATCAATGTCTATAACTATCTATAACTATATAGACATCCTATCAATGTCTATAACTATCTAAAGGGAGGGTGCCCAGAGGACTGAGACTCTTTTCAGGGGTGTCTAAGGACAGGACAAGAGGCAATGAGCACAAACTGAAACACAGGTATATTGTGAAGTTTCTCTTCTCTTGCTTCAGCTTATACATGTGTCTGAAGTCAGGAAACATTCAGTTAATATCAGTTGGGTATCAAGGTATTTTCTCTCACTGATCAGAATGAACAAGCCACCTTCTTTAAAAAGAAAGTGCAGGGTTTTTTTTTTTTGTTTTTTGTTTGTTTGTTTGTTTGTTTGTTTGTTTGTTTGTTTTGGTGAATGCATACACAATAGTATAGCTGGAAGAAAAATAACTTTATACAAAGATAATTTCCCTCTAGGGATTTGAGATCTTGGCATTTTTTAATTTGGTTATTTCAACCCCACTGCCCCAGTATAGTTACATAAGGTCCCAAACGAGTGCCAACCTGCTGATTTGAGCTGAATCGAATACAAAGTTAAAACCGGAGATAAAATTTTTAATAGGACAACAGTATTGATTACACTGAAATGAGAATACTGACAAACACGAGAATAAAAATAAAACATATTAATAATCTTGAAAAGATAGCTTATTTAAGCAGTTGGTAGCTTCAGAATTCTGGAGAGGGCAACACTGTAAGCTGACAGCTTCTGGAGTAATTTGCTCTGGATAACAAGATGTTGAGGTTGCTGTTTGGTTGTTGTTGTTGTTGTTGTTGTTTTTCTTTCTCTCTATAGTGTCTACTTGGGGTCACTTTTATTTTTCCTAGCAAGCTTTTATACTTCACTATTCATAGGTCTATAGCTCCACATTATATGGTGTTTTTCACGTACTTTAGATAATATTTATGTGTTTTACCTTGAAAACTGTTTTCACCAACTTACAGGCCTGCTTTTCTTCTCCTTCTTTTTATTCTTATTCATCTCTAACAAAGCAGTGGCAATTGTCACAGTATTGATAGCTGCTGAACTGCTTGGGCACCAGGATGTTGCTATTAGAAGGGTGTCTATGCAGGAAGTGCCTAAGGTAATACAGCAATTGAAAATACATTCTTGCTCTCATGTCTCTGCAGAAAATAGCAGCCATCTTTCAGTTCCCATTTCCAAACCTTTCTGATGAAGATGAAAATGGAGGGGGGGGGGGAGGGATGAAGTAGAAAAAGAGGATTAAATACTTGTCTGGTACTAATGATCATCTGAAAGCAAATTCTTTAAATTATTTTATATGGTTTGCAACAATATGCCTTTGATGTCAAAATAAAAACAAACTGTATGTCTGTTCTTAAACACTTGGCATTTGATCAGAAAAACAGCATCTTTCTACAAGAGCCTATAGGCATTCTTTCTGTTACAGAGATTTTTATAATCACTTTATATAATTTATTCATAAATTATGAATTTGCTCATGTAAAGTTTACTTGAGAGTCTAATTTTGAACAATGGTGAATGATACAGTAAGCCAGTTATAATATCAAAGCCAAAAACTTGAAGCAGGGACATTTAAGAACCAATACTAGACAGATGTGTGGAAACAGAAAAGATATCTGACTTCTGGCAGAATTTTAACATTATTTTACTCTAACATATGTAATTAAATTATGGAGAAAAATACTTTTGGCGATGGAGAGATTAATGATTTAGTCTAATGGGCAACATTTTTCTCATAGTCACAGTGGGAGCATAATTATATTCTAAATTACCTACTCTCTATAAATCTAGATTCAGACTTTGATTTAAGGATTTTGAACAAATGAGTAGGGCAGGGTCATCTAGGTCTTTGTAAAAATGTACTTATAGCCTTGCAAAGTACTGCCCTCTTCTCAGGGGAAAATACAATTCTGTTTTGCCTAGAAATGGGATAATTGTTTCACATTCTTTTTTTTATCTCCAGCAACTCACAGGCTGGAGATAAAGATCAAGACATGTTATCTTACAAGATTCCTGACAAATTTGTGCTTGGCTAAATTCCCTGACCTAGAATGTCCAAGCTGAGAATATCTCAGCATGGTTTTGCTGCTGCAAGGCTCTTTAGCTGCTGGCCTGACATGGTTTCTGGTTTACTTCTGACTACCATCTCTATCTTCCCCTAGTATCCTCTTATTTTCCAGTTTTCCTCCCTTATTTCCTCATTTGCTTCCTTGTTATTCCCTATGTTATTCTCTATTCCCTTTTTACATTTCTCAGACATCCTTTTCTCTTGTGGACCCAAGAAGGATACTGCACTGCAATGACATACAGTCTATTTGCCAAGACAGTGAAAAACAGATGGATATGAGGTAAAACATTTTCTTCTCCTTCTCCTTCTCCTTCTCCTTCTCCTTCTCCTTCTCCTTCTCCTTCTCCTTCTCCTTCTCCTTCTCCTTCTCCTTCTCCTTCTCCTTCTCCTTCTCCTTCTCCTTCTCCTTCTCCTCCTTCTTGTTCTTCGTCTTCTTTGTTTTCTTCGTCTTCTTCGTCTTCTTCTCCGTCTTCTTCTCTGTCTTCTCCATCTTCTTTTTAATTTTTATTTATATATTTTTTATTGTTTTAACTTTATATTTTTCTTTCTGTGTCTGTTCAGGTATGCAGAAAACTGGCTATGCTAGCTGATCTTATTCCCTTTCAGGGAAAGGATGTACATAAACTTTTGCAACCCTAGTATAGATTTTGCTTCTTTGGTTGTTTGACAGGAAAGTCGTCACACATGACTATTTAGCTTTATAGTTCTGCAGTGGGAAAAGTAAAAGAATTTCTTTTCAATATTCTACAGTAATAGCAAAGTCAAGAATGAGAGAAGCTGTGATGCGTCTCTGGGGGATGGATAGCTGACTGATTTTTTATTAAGGCTATTTTCTATTTCAAAATTATTAATGCAATGCTGCAGCTTCTTTGTCCTTAAGGATTAAATTGTTCATGTTACTAGAATCCTTTTGTTCAGCTAGTTGATGAGAAACTGTGTGAATAAGCAAATTATTAGAGCTGTGTCAGTAGTTCTAATTCAGATAAAGCAGGAGGATGCTGAGCATCAGCTGTTACTTGTCAGGTTCTGCAGAGTATTCCAGACATCTTACAGTTGCTAGTCTATTCCATAAATGATTCTGTCCTCTGAAAATACAGAGATCAGGTAAAAGGAAATGGAATGCATATACCAGCAAAATGAGTAGGGTAGCAATGAACTTACAACAAATTCAAAGATAATCCCTAAAGAGCTGTTTGAGATTGCTGTCTTGAATCTCACTTTGAGAGCTAACATGTACTGATCCTCTTTAACAGTTCACCAAATAGAAAGTTCAAAGAGAAGATGCTGCATATTCCGATCAACTGGGGGGTTTCAGTTCTGTGAATATGCTAGCTGTTTTCCCTATTACATCTAGATTTTAAACTTAAGTCTGGTATCCTCTCATTTAAACAATTAAATCCATAAATGAATTGAAACTAAACATTCACTCCAGACCTGTCTATATCAGATTTTGCACAGAACTGATCCAGTCTTGTTTTTCTTCATCCTTTGCAGAAATTCTCATAAGCCATGGCCTGTAATTATTCTGTTGCTATTCAGTATGAGTAGCACTTTTCTGAAAACCGGCATACTGAATGCTGCTTTTGTAATTATTCCAATAAAATCTTCATTTGAATGTCTTCAAGTATTATGTTTATTAATTAAAATTACTTAGTTTATCTAAAATAAAACCATACTATTAATGAGGAAGTGTCATTTAACTTTTCAGCCAATGTTTATATTTGCAAACCCAGCATTTCTAATAAAATTCTTTTGAATCAGTTTACGTATTCGTGTTACAGTTCCAGAAAAAATTATTTCATTTCAGTGAACAGTTTAGTTTTCTTGATATGATGATTGTTTATTGCCAGAAAATGAGGTCAAGAAAAGCCAACAATTTCAGCTGGGAATAATTTGAATAGTTGGTGTTTTCAGAAACAGTGTTGTGATAAGTTCCCCTAAAACACATGCAAAGAAAGAAGGTCAGTTCTTCTAAAGACTTCTTTCCCAATTTCACAATCTGCTACTTCATTGCTTTGCACAGACTTATAGCACAAATAATGAAATGAGTCTAGCCATTATAACTACAAGAATTTCAAGTAACACGACTTAAAGCTTTATTGCTGTGGGTTTCAAGAAAAGGAATCGTCAAGTTTATCCACCCATCAAAAATGTGTATCTCAGAGTCTTGGGAAAGGGAATCATATTACTTAAAATCACAATGTTATGTGATAAGCTGTCATCAGTCGTGGAAGATGGTAACTTTTAGAAATGATGAGTAAAGAAAAAATGGAAGTTCCTGTGCATGGATGGAACAAACAGGTAATGTTCTCATCACTTCCCTCCTCTCCAGAAGGTGTATCCATCTTTTGATAATGTGTGAATTTTTATTATTATTTTTTTTTTTATTTCTCTGAAGCAGTCAGTACAGGGTGGAAATGAAAAAGCTTAATGCCAATCTCAAGATAAAAAAGAAACTCAGTTTCAGAATTCAACATAGAAAAATCTCATAAACTAAAATTTATATTTTTTGTCTTATGTTTTCCTTCTACAATTGCTCCCATTTCTGAGTTATACTTTTTTTTTTTTTTTTACCTCTTACTTGAATAATAATAATAAAAATAATTATTTTCTATTAATAAAGTTGTTTGTAACCAATTAGAATTTGAGTCCTCCATTCTCAGTGATATACCTATCTTGCCCTCAGAAACCCCAGCAGTGTTAGGGTCTTTCTCAGTTAAGGTGCAAGAGCTTAAGATTAAAACACAGAAATTAGAATAGTTTGCATTCCTCTGTTAGAAAAATCAAAGATTATGTTTTACTTTAGGAGTAATAATTGATTAATTCTTATGCTACGGTATTCTCAGTAAGCAATAAATAGAAAGTGAAGTTTAAGTTTTTGTTGTTGTTCCCCTAAAACTGGTTATTGAATTTGAATGCACCCTTGTTAAAGAGACATTTCAACTTTTTACATTTTGGCTACAGTAAAAAAACACCCGCCTGCAAATCTGTACTCTTAATAAAATAAGAAACTGGAAACATCCCAAATTAGCCAAGAAGACTGGTATATTCCTACATTCTTTGAACTTTTAAGATAGGTAGTTCTCAAACTGTACTGTAGAAAATCTAGGTAATTGTGGTAACTATAAAAGTCTAAGAAGAAATGAACCACTATTTAATGAGCACTAGGAAAAACAAACAAACAAACAAAACCAACAGCAAACAAAGCTAACAACAAACAAAGAAAAAAAAAAACACAATATTTTATATAAATAATTTCAAAATGTTTCAGGAAAATAGATAGTCTAATATCTCTTTAAAAAAAAAAAAAAAAAAAAAAAAAGAAAAGGAAACGATTGCATCTGCTGTACAGGACTGATATTACATGATGTGATCCACCAATGATCACATCAACAGTAGACTAATTTAATGACTGAAGATTATGTATGATTACAGTATTTCCAATATAGAGACAATACAGATCAACATAAGGACTTATGGGAAAACTAAAATGTGCTATTCTGTTACAGATCTAGACTTTGTACAGAAATCATCCTTGAGTACAACTTAATAGGGCTTGTAGGATTTAAGTTCTTTATCCTGTGTTGGCAAGATTGATGTGGTGGCCAATCTGTTTGAGATCCTTTTCCTACCACCCCCACCGCCCTCCCTTTTAATCAGTCCTCCTTCTGCCATCTATTCAGCCAAAGCATTTTCCATTTGTTTCACATCAGTCTCTTTGCTATTCTGCATTACTGCAAGGTTCATTTGATTTCTGCAGAGACTGCATGTCAAATTATCCTCCTTACCCAACAGTGAACTTGAAATCTAGTTTTAGATTTAAAAGATTGCATCCCTCCTTTTTCCATGTTCTGTCATCTCCAAATCTCAGCTTCTCTTTCCTTTCAAAAACTAGTTCTGGAATTTGTCTTTCTGTCTTAGTCCTTGAAAAGTCACAGAGAAAATTTTCTTGGAGGATATAGAAAGGAAATTAAAGAAAAAAGCTATTATTGGGCGTAGTCAACGTGTCTTCATAAAGCCAACATGGGTTCTGCCTTAATAATTTTAATATCCTTCTATGATAAGGATCCTATCCTTCTAATCTTAATATCCTTCTATGATAAGGAGACCTGCTTGGTGAATGAAGGGAAGGAAGGCACTGGATATAATCATTCTAGATTTCAATAAGGCTTTTGATACCATCCCTCACAGCATCCTTCTAGACAATTTGTCCAACGATAAGATAAACACGTTTACTCTATGTTGGATGATGAACTGGCTCAACAGTAGAGCTCAAAGAGTTTCAGCGAACTGGGCTACATCTGGCTGGCAGCCAGTCACTAGCAGTGAATCTAGATAGTGATTCTTAGCTTTAGTGCAACCTCACCTTGAATATTTAGTGCAGCTCTGGTCTCAGCAATATAAAAAAGATGTTAATATTAAAACCATCCAGAGGAGGGCAACAAAGTTGGTAAAAGGGCTGGAAGGCAAGTCCTATGAGGAGAGGCTGAGGACATCTGGGCTGTCCAGCCTGGAGAAGAGGAGGCCGAGAGGTGACCTGCAGCGTCCCAAGGAGGGGAAGTGCAGAGGGAGGTGCCAGTCTCTGCTCCCTGGGCACCAGTGACAGGACACATGGGAATGGCACAAAGCTGTGCTAGGGGGGGTCAGACTGTATATTAAGGAAATCTCTTTCACATGAGGTTGGTCAAACACTGGAACAGGCTTTCTAGATAGGTGCTTGCTATCGCATGCTTGCCAGTGTTCAAGGGATGTTTGGATAATGCTGTCAATAATGTGCTAACCTTTGGATAGCCTTGAAGTGATCAGGCAGTTAGACTCGATGGTTTTTGTAGCTCCCTTCCATCTGATTTTTTGTTGTTGTTGTTGTTGTTTCTAAGTTTCTTGTGCTAATGCATCATCATAAAAACTGTGTTGTAACTGTCATGTGCTCCTTCCCCTGTGTATCCACCTTGTACAGAAACTGCAAAATGAATGTTATTTCAAGTTTGTTGTTATGTGACAGATTAAGGATGAATACCTTTTAAAGTTGTAGCCATTTGATGGAAGGATAAAGCATTATAGTGTAAACAGTGCATAAAAAATTTCTAGCATAGTTTGTCAGGACATATATGGGTTTTCTGAAACATTTTTGTGTATTATAAAGATTGTTGCTTATGCTGATTATTCTTCAAACATCTTCATGCTATGGTTGACAGTTATTCACCTACAAAACTTTCTAGTAGGAAATTTATTTCAGTCAACAAATGACAAAGTGGTTGGGGAAGGAGAAAGAGAAGGGAC